GCTGTAAGCATTCTTGTGTTTTCAATCTTGTTCAGCTCTCTAGATTCAGTCATCAAAATTTTGAATATTAAACTGTACCAGATTCTGGGAATATCAATCAAACAAGAAGTATCTCACTGCTTTTCACTATGTTTGTAAAGTACATTCCAATGTTGGCAATTATTAGCTACAATTGACCCTCCTGTTTCTACATTGGGAAGAACAAGATGACATGAACTAAGACGGAAAGCTGGGAAAGACACCAGTTAGGATAAAGGGAAAGCAAGAGTTGCATTCAGGGCAGACTGAAATGATAAATCTTATAGATATTTAGGCTGAGATGCAAAATAGCTAATAGTGAGTCTGGAGATCAGAGTGAAATTTACTTGGAAATTGTCACATATAGAGAAAATTAAATCACAGATTTGAATTAGATAATATTAGAAGAAAATCTGCTAGAGAACAGAAATGAAGATCAAATATGAATTCCATTTAATATTTAGTGGTCAAGTAATAGAGGAAAAATAATGACCATGCAGATTTCCTCCCCTCCCCCCCCGCTATTTAGAAAGAATTCATGGGTGATGTTGAAAAGCAAACTGTGACAAAATTGAGGAGGTTTTATTTAATATAACTATATAAAAATCAAGAGCAAGCCAGTGGAGTAGTTGACTTAGAGTTCATATTTGAATGGATGATGCCTTAAGAGAATATATATTCTTTCTAAACCCACTTATTGACCTAAAACTATAATCCAGTTCTAGAACAAAAACAAATTATACTAAAGTGCCAAAACACGTATGACCTGAGTAATTTTTTCTGGCAATTCTGTATTCAAATTATAAATCAGTAATACAAAGAAATCCTTCAAATTTGTCATAATTTGGAACTAAAGCAACTTCAAATGAATCCAAGTTTACAGAAGAAATCAAGAATATGTGAAAGTAAGAAAAACAAGACAGTAGGTGACTGAAAGATGAAACATCAAACTTAAATACAGTAAATGGTGGACCATATTTGTATGTAGATGAATACTATACAAAGGTAAAAACAAGAAATAATTGGAAATGTAAGCTTATGAAGAAAGAAGAAAAATGGGATTTATAATGCCACTTACATATTAAAATGTCTTAGGAGATAATATACTTCCCTACGATGGTTACCTGAGGCAATACCTGGTCTGGAGATGCCTGTATATTTAGAGAATATATGAGATTTTTTCCCCTGATAGCTTGCAGTTTTTCGTTAGAGAATGAGTCAGGATATAAAAGAAAAATTTGTGGACAGGGAACTTAGAGTAAGTATAAGAATTTAAAGACAAGGTATATAGGTGTGTATATAGGTAATGTAAGTACATAGACAAACACAACAGAGAAATAACATTTCAAGGCTGAACAATTGTGAGTGGCTGTTGGTTCTTTGAAGTTGTAAACTTAATTTAAAGAAAAAAGAAACAGTTTGTTTAGTTTTCCCCAGCATTTTTTATTGTGTTGTGGTGCTGATCAAAGAAAGTAGATTTGCTAGATAAGCACTGCAGAGAAAAGAGGTAAAATTGAATTAAAGTCCTTTGCAATATAATTAGCATGACAACTAAGGAGACTAAGCTGGCACAAAATGATAAATGAAGGCAGGAGGGGGGATAAGGTGGGGAGCAAGATCTTAGGTAACTAGTGCTCACAGCGAAGCAGGATTATAGTTGTACTGAAAAGAGGTTATATTCAGGAAAGCAGTGCTGGGAACTGAGATTTTGGAGCTGATGCATTTGGCGAATGGCTTCAGATAGATGATTTAATCCATTCTTTCCTCAGTGACCTTTGGCCTGAAGCTAACTTTGACCACACATGTTGGGACAACTGCGAGCCAACGACCTGGATCCACAGCCTCTGGGAAATATGGGTGGGGGGAACTGGGGAAGGGAGATGGGTGCAGGAAAGTCAGCGTAGACCTTCTTCCTTTCCTTTAGCATCATGCTTTATGAGCACTTGGTTTTAGAAGATGTTTTATTTATTTATACATACAAAACTGGGGTACAGGTCAGAGGTGCAGGGCCAGTAAAAGGATTTACCAGAGACACAGTGGGAAGCACAACAGGCTGACTGATGAAGTACACGGCTGAGGAGAGCAGCGGGCAAGACAGGACAGGTCTGCCATGCCATATGGTCACCTTCCTGGCCAGGGATTGAGCTAGTGTTGAAGCTTCAGCTAGTTTTGTAGTGCTGAGACTTGACCCATTGGTAATGAGGGAGGGTCCTATGAGTACTTGGTTTTTGATGTTTCCTTTATGGGAACATTTTGACTCTATGTTCATTTTTACATGCAAAATGTGTTATACAGTTGCCCAAATCTGTAGGTTTTCCCTTATTAGTTACACCTTCATCACCAATGAGCTATGAGTGCCCCCATCTGATCCCTTCACATATCTCACAGACCCATCAACCCCAACCCCGGTAACCCACCCCGCAATGACCTATATATGTCACCAGCCATCTGCTTTCTATTTCCACTCTCTCTTCTGGACACTTTCTTCACCTTGTTACCAAAATTGAGATTTGCATGGCACCCATTATTACAATTTCCTTCTTGTTCTCTAAAACAATTATTGCCCTTACACTTCTTATGTCTCAAGACCAGCAGATGGAATAGGTGTCTCCTTGCTTCAAATTCTCTTTTTCATGTAGTTAAAACTTCCAAATGCTATAAACACAATACTGACCACTTCTTTTTCCTTCATCCCCATTCATGACCAATATAACTTTTGTGGAATTATCTAGATGGAAACAAGTTAGAATTTGAGCCAACTGCCTATAAAACAGCAAAAATCTCTTTGATAAGAATATAGTTCTCTCTTTCTTGCTAAACACTTTTATAACTTCACATTAAATTGCCTGTGTCTATTAATATTTTTCCATAAATTACTGTCAACTTTGTTTTTTTAATTTTGTTGGTTTTGTTTTGCTAAGTGGACTTAGTAAAAGCTTTTCACAGTTCCTTAAAATGTTTCATTAACAGATTACTTTAAAAGGAGATTTTAAATAATTATCTACTTTCAATAAAAAAAAAAAACATTCAGAAATGAAGACATCAGAGCCTTAATACTATAACTTAGAAATAAGTCAATTTGCATAGTTTTCAAAATACTACACAACAAAATTATTGCATATCATCTATTTGTGTCTGTGGATTTGCATTACTAGCTAGCTACATAACACTGAATTTTTCATTTGTGATTATTGTTTACAAATCTAAAATTGTAGGATTTTCCTAAAATTGTGTTTACCTAAACAGCTAACTGCATTTTTAACTAGAAATGTAACTGTGCTTCTGTATCCTTAAAGGAATCAATTAATTAGCAAAGCTAATGCTAAATAATTCAAATCTCTGCCTGTTCTGTATGCACTGCCCAATGCATTTATTATCACAATTCTGTCTGAGAGATTATTTGAAATGCCAAATCCTCAAGAGAATCCCGAAAGACTTTGTGCTCTTTCAGTCACTGTTACCTCCCAACCTGCTGACATTCTTAGCAGGTATGTGAAGTAAAACAGTTTGCAAAGCAATTGACATGTCACCAAATATTTTACTTAGGAATATCAATCATCATAACAAAACATGATTTCCTTAATATGAGTTAAATATTTACAACAAAGGAAAGATAAATTAATGGGAAAAGTCAATTAATGGGGCTTTGGTATGACAATTTTGAACACTGTTATATTACCCTTATGCTATGAGGACAAATGTGTAAAGGTGGTCAAGTTAATCCTGAGCACCTGGACCTCATTTTCATCATCTTGCTGTTGAAATATGTAGCATTAAGGTATGCCCCTTGATTGCTGAGTTAATAAAGCAATTTGGCTATCTCCTATTTTATTTACTTTACCATTAGGATGTTGAATTGTGTGTCTTTTTTACTTATGCCATTGCTTATATGTTTGACTTACAACAATTACTTTACTAATTTTAAACTCCATTCAATTGTTCTAGACTTCATCAACCTACAAGACATTTAATAGATTTTTATAGCAAGTATTCTATGTCATTTGGGTCCACAATGCTTCAAAGACTCTATATTCTGCTAGAAATAAAATTTTACTGATATCTAGAACTAATCCATAATGTTTTGGCTCAATAGAGTCAGTGAAGTAGAAATCCCTACTTAAGACAAATTTAATTGTTGAAATATATATTGTAGCGGAGCTGGTCGTTAACATCCCAGGGCTGACAGTGATACCACATCATTTCAGCTGGTGAAGAAACATTCCTTTAGTAAAATTCTTTCTAGGTGGACATTTTCCTCTTTTAAAAAAGAATAATAACTGTGACAGTAACAGTATTTTGATTATGGTGTCATTTTGAAGTTAGACGTAGGTCATTTTATCAGATTTCTTTTTCAGCAAATTGGAAAAGAAGAGGAATATGGAATTAAGGTTTACATCTACTGGGAATTGAGAGACAAATTAAAATGTTAGGTATAATTAAATCATAAAGTTTGAAGGGATTTAAGAGGTCATCTATCTAGTCAAATTGCTTTCATCTGAGAAGGAACAAACTTGAATAATCCTTCCATGATTACTAGCTGAACTCTTTAAACACATCCCATGTAGTTTAGCAACTTAAGCAAAGTTAAATAATATTCATCAGGGAAGTCATCCTGATACCCGAATACCACAAAATACAAATACATACTTGCACCTTGTTATCATTTTTACTATTGTACACTAATATTTATCAATCCATATTACACTAACTTTCTTGAAACCCAAGTTTAAAAACAAAAAATTAAATGGTTTAAGTGAAATTAAGCACAAAATGAGAATCCCTCCTCTTCATTTCCACCACTAGTGTTTGTGTATGTTTTTAATTTTCAACACCTTTATTGTATGGAAATGACTTTTTCATTGTCATAGTGCATTCCCAAACCTGTTCTTGTTAGTTTACCTTTCCCTCTGGAACTTTGTCTCCTTAGAGTGAATTTTTATCTATGAAGCATTAAAAGAATTCATGGAGAGAACAGAACTTACCCTAGGGGCGAAGGTGGCATCATTGATGGAATGCATGTGACCATAGAGAGAATGTTCACATTTACCCTAGGAAGACAAAGTGAAAATAATATCAAGTAAAGTCTATTTGATATGTGAAAATAAATGGAAAGGTAGCAGTTTTGTTTGAAACCACATTTTAAGTCCAACAACAAATGAATGCATTCTTATGATAGAAAAATTTTAGTATCGCTGTCAGCTACCACGTTGAGTCACACAAGGCTATCCCAAGAGTGTCTGCGCTGACATTCTGATTCCCTTTTACACCATTAGACAGGTGGCACACTCTTATAAAGTGACTCAAGTTTTGCAATTAGCATAACGAAACCCAATGATAAAGTCCTTCTAGAAAACCCTGTTTTCAGCATATTTCCACCATTACTGAGGAGGTGGCGGGAACTTCATTGTTGGTCTGTCACAGGAGCACCTTTTAATTTCTAAATTTTCATAGCTTGGCATTAATATCACTACATGCATAAAGATGTTATGAAACATTCACCTTAATAATCTATGTACACACATGTATGTATATGTGTGTAAGTATTGTGTGTATATTCTGGATAGAACAACTGGGGAACATGCCAGAGGTGTGGGGGTGAGAGGATTCACCAGATACAGTGGAGAGCAGAGCAGATATTACACTGCTAAGGGGAACAGCAGGCAAGATGGGAGTGGCCTACTGTGCCATGTGGGTTAGCTTCCTGGGCAGGGATTGAACTCAGGCCATAGCTGTGATAGCGCTGAGACTTAACCCGAAAGCCACCATGGAGGTCCCTACAGTAATAATTTTTAAGCAACATGTTTCATGAAAAACTATGCTTCACCAACTCCAAACCATAGCTAAAATTGAAATTAATTCCAAACCACAGCTAAAATACATAAAAACAAACAAAAGTACAGATTTCTTTTAAGTGACACCAGGAAAAAAAAGGTTTATAACATAAACCCATGGGAACATAAATGTTCATTTTGTTCATTTATGTTCATTCATCTCGACACCAAATTATGTATTGTTTATATGTATATAAATTGCATATTGTTTTATGTATTTGTTTACATGTATTGACTATTGTTTATAGGTTCTTGTTATGAGCCAATATTCACATTTCATTCAGCCATTTATTCATTCACCAAATAGTTTTGAGAAACTGAAATATGTTAGGCCCATGTCAAGGTACTTAGGGTACAGTCAAGCAGACAACTGGAGGAACAGAAGTCCTGGAAGGCAGGAGAGCTAGAGCACATGTCTCAGTGTGGGAATTTGCCCAGAGTGTCTTTAGAAAGTAAGGAGGTCAGTGTGGCTGGAGACAAGTGTTAGAAAAAAGATGAGGCCAGATTATCAGACTGAAGTGGGCTTTCCTGACAGTCTGTGAGTTGACAACTCCCTGCAAACCAAAATTTTCACCCCAAAATGAGAGTGCAGGTCTTCATAGGGTTAGACAACAGCTGGAGTTTTTTTTGGTGCATCAGGGTGAGGGTGGCAGAGTCTCTCCTGCCTGAGGAGTCTGAGTATTTACTGCTGCCAGCTTCTCTCTAGTTCAGTTTACCTCAGGTGCCTCTGACCACTGGGCACCAGTCGGTGATGGACTTTATAAGGGGCCTGTGTGTGCTCTCTTCAGCAAGGTCATCAGGAGAGCTGATTGATTAAAAGGCTTCATTTGCTCTCATCCACCACCTTGTATTTATTTAGTGCTAACCCATTTATGGTTGAACAGGGATGACAGAAAAGACTAAAGTGAGATATTAAAGACAGAGGATCATTATCATGTGTCTTCCTTCTTGTAAGACATTCCTGGAGTATTTTTGAACTCAGAAAATAATTGGGAGTTTTCTCTAAATTCTAGTAAGTCCACACTATTTCTATTATGTGGGGACAGTTAAATTTTAAGCATCCATTTATAGATTTAATCCATTTACAGGAGCCTTTTCATAGAATGCAAAATTTCTCCTCATAAATTCATATTTCATTAAAAGTTGTTGAAACATGCAATTCTCTTTCAGTATTCCCTTTGCCCAGGTTATTTTGGTTCAGTATCTTGAATGTGTTTTAACTTCAAGACCAATTATGCTGAGAAGGTCAGATCACCTGAATTTCCAAAGTAGAAATAAATTCCTTACAAAGCCAGAAAGGGGACATGTGTTTTATTTAGCTTTCATACATTACTTTAGGAACTTTTTGTTGAAAAAGAATATCATATATTGTTATATAAAATTATACTTTGTGAGTGTTAATATTTTAAATATTTAAATGATCAATTTTGTCTTGATTTTTTTTTTGGAATTAATAACAGCTTTTATTTGGTCCTCTTCTATATTGAAAATTTTAAAAACTATTTGATTAATTGGTAAGGAAAATGTACTTTTCTGATTCAAATTCTGAATGCCAATTTTTAATTCAAACTCTAATCTCTAAGGCATTCTTGAAAGGCCTTGGAAATATAGGGTTATAATGGAAATGCTGACAGGCCACATTTGTGCAGCTATAACAAAACCTGACTCGAAGATAAATGTTTCATGAATTAAGAAAAGTTTAAAAAGTCTTTCTATCCAGCTTTGTTCCCAAGATAAAAGTGAATCTACTCTTTCTGTGATGTAGGGAATATGTGGGTTACTAATATTCTACTCTGCAAACAGCCTTAATCAAAAGCAATACCCAAAACCGGGATATTGAAATTTGGAGTCAATGCTTTGATGAATTTTTGTCAGAATTGTTTTCTTTAAAGGGAGTGAAAAACATGAAAAAGAGAGAAGAGATTTGTTTTGTTTTTTTAAAATCATGTGATCTAACAAGTCACTGCTGCAGTATTTGATTCTCTCAGAGAAGCAGTGGACACTAATGGTTTCTGTCATTGGGGGGGGGGTGGGGGGGGATAAAAGTGCCTGGGGCAGACTTTTTGCATTTGCTACCTTAAGGAAATTACTCACTACAGTCTGCTTCACTTTCCTCATTTAATTCTCAAAACAGATCCATATGTTTAATACCACCACCTTGTGTACAATGAGATATTGATACTTAATCTATCGGTTTATTTTAAAAATTAAATGAGATATTGTATGTTTAATGTTGGTAGAGTAAAAAATGCAAAGTCAGAGTTTAATGGACATCATCTGATACTTAGGATATACACCATTGAAATGTTGATGACTTCAAAATTAACATTTCTATCTTTAGTTAACAGCCTCCTTAAAGACCCCAGTAAAAAGTCTTTGAGGCATCAGTGTTATTTTGGTTTGTTTGTCCCTCAGATTCATTCCCTCTGTGGCTCTGCCCTGATCTCTACTAACTACATCACCATGGGACGGCAGTCACTCTGGCCTCTGGTTAGACTCAGAGGAAAGCCCTGGTAGGATAAGGAAATACAAAGAATAGACATGAATAAAGTGGCCATTTCTGTTCTCTTCCTGTTCAGCTGTGATTTGGTCAGCCACTCTGACCCTATTGCTCACCTAATCCTACAACTTTTATTGTGTGGATGCTCTGCCATGGCTCCAGCTCATACTGTGACCAGTAATGCTGTCTTTCTGGCCCTTCAGACCTAACCTGAGGGTAATGATGGCTTTCCATTGTTGAGAGACTTTGGGTGTTATGTTTTGTTCCTTAGAACTGTTTGAATTTCAGCACACCTTCTATTTGAATCTACCCTGTCGGTCATCCATTTTCAGCTGACACTTGTCTGATGCAGCATGTCAGACAGAACATACAAAAGCATCCTTTATGATTTAATACTTTCCAAATGCTTATCTTTACCCTTGCCAATTTCCCCCCTAACTAACTAGTATCACCGATTGCTAAATAAAACCTAGGTAATTTAAAAAAAAAAAAAGAAAAAAAACTGAGTCAGATATCTACCCACTTCTTCCCTTGTCACCTCCATCCCCATATAGCATTAGCTCTTTAGTCAACATACTGTCCTCTGACTCTCACCATCATCCCCGGAACAAGGAAGTCATCATAGTAGCGTGACAAAAGCTGAGCATCTACAGTGGTGTCTCCACGCCTCCTCTGTCCCCTCTCCCCATCCACTCTACTAATGGTCACTGGAGTGATTGATAAAACATAAATCAGACCACACCAAGTACCTGCTTAAAGGTAGTAAAACAATTACCATTACACTGGGAAATAAATCCCCAACTCTAGGTAGGTCTAAATTTCTATATTATTTGGCTCCTATTTATTTCTCTCTTCTCAGCCATTGGATTCCATGAACATTGTCATGTTTCTGTTTTCTGAGCAAAGAGTATGTCAGCTGAGTGAAACAATGACTGTATACATAGAGCAACTCTAAACACAGAGGTTTTTTTTGAGATTTAGTAGTGTCTACCAGTGAAGAATTTGTTTACATTTGTTAAAGTGTTTTGGCAAGTGCTAATGCCCAGGATCTAAGTTATCATATTTGTTTCTTTTACATCACTCATCATTAAAACTATTTAATACATTTGTTTCTGTGTGCTTGTTAGTTTCTTCCCACTGGAATGAAGCCCCTACTGTCTTGTCCACCACTCACTCCTTCATTTCCAAGGCCCAAGGCAGCTCTGATAAAATCTGATAAATAGATGTTGAGAAACAATAGTTACATAGAGAAATATTAAAATTGGAAAGAATGTTACCTCACCAATATATGTATTTTTGGATACATAACTTGATTTTATTCCCAGGATTTATTTTCATCTTGGTCAGTCCTGATGTAACTGGGTGGTCCCTAGGAGAAGGGAAGTTCCAAGTTCCCTGCCCCACCCAGAAGGAGGGTGGAACTGAGCAGAGAAAAAGGAGAGAGAAGAAGAGAGAAGGAAGGCAGAAGGCAAATGGAGAAGGAGACCTAAGGAAGCCACATGGAGCAGCAAACATGAGATGAAGAGACCGG